TTATTGCCGTTGTTACGTAATTTTTTTGAATTCGTTGAAGTGTCAATAGCCCGGGGTACAGGGTGAGTCGAGAAATTTTGACACCGGTCGGCTGTAACCTTGTAGAGGTTACGACCTTTGGGAACGGTATGGCACGCTGATTTTCATAATAATTCATTTTTGTTTTTCTTAATTGTCACCATCCTCGAAATAACTTTCAAACTAAATATGACAGATATAGTTTCGACCATTCGTTGAAGCATGACGAAATCTATCTTCTGCACAGATATATTTTTTAACAGAACTCTGTATTTTTGATACAGACAATTCGATTTTAAAATATGTTGGAATCAATCTTTTATAGTTTGCGAGATATTCGCAGTTTTCAATACTGCTGTTGCTATCTTCACGTTCAAATATGGATGCCGCGAAATAATGTAATTTTCAAAACTAAAATGAACTGTGAATACGTTCTTAAAATTCTCATCAACTGTATAAAGCCAATTATGAAGGAGCTTCAGCCAATCCATATGGAAAATGCTGATTTAACACAATATTTTTTTTACTCATTTTGGATGCTGTTTTAAACGGATGGTCTGTATCTTGTAAATTTAAAATATATCTCTTAAAAAGTTAGAAATTCTGTACTGTTTCTAAATTTATTATTAGTTTCTCAACAATTTGTAGATCTAAATAATTGAGACGGTAGAATACTTGTACAATATATTTTCTTGAGCAAAATAATTCTAACTTCAATCACATAAACATTTAAAAGCGAAGAGAAAAATGAAAATAATTAAAATTCAAAAATGTCATTCATTTATTTAAAGATTTATTACTGTAGCACTGAAAGTTACACAACTACATATACAGGGTCGGAAAGTCCCCATGGTTCATCCGCCGTTACGTGAGAGCGATAAGATCCACTTCTTATTTGTGGAAGGGCGAAATGGGCTGTGACTATTAGACGCCTTCATTATAGCCATCTTTCTCTATCGCACGGATTTCTATGACTTACTTTATCGCTCTCACGTAACGGAGGATAAACCATGGAGACTTTCCGACCCTGTATGATCTATTCAAAACAGAGTATTACTAGAGAAAGTTATTACAGTTGTAGTCGAAATAATATAGTGGTTTCTCCACTATACGAGATGATCACAAATAGTATACAAAAAATTGTAAAAAATGGTACAAATTTCTGTTCTCATTTTTCTACAGCTCAATATTAACGGAGTTGCATAAATTCATTAATGGTTCCTTATTTTTTTTAGTTAACCGATTTTTTTGAAATTTGATAGATTTACTATTAGTAAAAACTGCCCCCACGAAAGAATCCATATTCTTAAAACCCTAAATGGTTAAATAGCCTTTTTTACTGCAAAATTGATCATAACTTATTCGGATTTCTTTAATTGAACGTTAAAATCGTTTTAGATTGAATTTTTAATATCGAAAACAGTTAAATATATGTTTTCTATGGACTTTTTGAAAAATTTTAAGACTAATGTAAAAAAATATATGACAAATTTGAAATCGATATTTCAACAGCCAGCTATAAAAGCTATTACAATTTCTAATATCAACTATGGACTAAGGCAAATTTGGCCAAATCTAAACGTTTATAATATGTGATCCGTTACTTATAAAACACCCTGTATAACACAATATGGAATTAAATATCTAAAACCTTGAAACCCTTGTATATTTTTAGAGGTCCAAAGAATTTTTGAGCATTCGAGCTCTATTCTTTCTGTAATTCTAATTCAAAACCTTGCAGGTTTAAGCAACTAAAGAAACTTACACTTGCCGAGTCTGACGAAAAAAAAGAAGCAGTCCATCTTATCAAGTTACTTCCTTATAACTTTGTTACTCGTCTGATTTTTATGTATGAGCGTCGAAAATGTCCCACACGTACCCCGAAGCGTTATGCTGTATTTATACACCATAACTCGTTGCATTTACATGCTAGCTTCACTATAAAAGAATATACCTAATATTTAACTGTAATATGTACAGCAACACTAAATGAATTTAGAATAATGATGTGGCAACGGCACGCATACCGAGTGACAGGACGGGAGTAGACGTCTATCGGCCTTTCTTCTACGAGACGAGCAAACAAAAACCACCCGAGGAGTCCTTCTGTCGTCAGATATAGTCCTCTTCGACGAAGTAAATAGACGCATCGATAAATTGGTATATCGTTTTACCCCCTAGACATCAGTCAGTCCGTGAAATGTGTTTAGATCTAAGATTTGCCGTGCTAGCCATAATGCAGCGGTTCCGAACATTTTTTCACGTAGAATCAGTCGGGGTAACCGCATTCAGTGGATAAGTGCGTATACAGGGTGTTAATGAACTTATGTCAAATATTTTTGCCGCACGGATTTGTGTTGAGTAAAATGTAATTTTAAAATCTGCCTTACCTCAACATTGTAAAGAGACACCTTTTGAGAACTGTTGGTTTTCATAGATGTTCGATGTACCCGCCATTTGCTTGCGCACAAGCTTCGGCGCGACGTATCCAATTCGCTCGCACGCGTTGCAACATTGCCACGTCCTCTTGAATCGTATTACAAGCTTCAGCAATATGATGTTACAGTTGGTTGATGTCACGAACTTCCGTGGAAGACACACCACTTTCCACATATTCCACAAAAAGAAGTCTAAAGGGGTGAGGTCCGGGGAGGGAATATCATAATATTCGCGATTGCGCCATTTTCATAACAAAATTTGAAAATACGGCTATTAAATGTAATCTCGAAAAACAGCACAGCAATCATTACAACAATGTATTACAAATTGACTTTCGAATACAGACCGGCTTCATAAGAAACCTACAAACTCGTAAAAAGTGTTACATAATTTTTTTGTAAGTACTCGCCGCGACATGTACCTATTTCAGCAGTTCCAAAACAGTTTTAAACACATATTTAATTAGCCTTTTTCTCTATGACCTTAAACTTCCGATACAAGTTTGTGACATCAGTTAATTCAGTTTTTGCTCCTTTTTCGCCCCTTTAAATTTTTGACATAAATTCATTAACACCCTGTATATTAACCCCTTTCATTCATCGTCACTTTAAGGTTAAAAGTCAGGCAGAAACTAAAACCCATAGGCATTACACTAGAGATATGGAACTGAGTAAATATGAAAGTAAGCAATTTCTTTAAAATATAAATGTACGAGTACGTTTTGTATAAAAGTTGTTTAATCTGTTGACTTTAACAAAAATGTATTTGAGGTTAACTACAAATTTGGAAGAAGATTTGTGGAATAAAATTTGAGGTGTGAAAATTCGATTGGCAAAAATAGAATATTTATTTTAATAATTACTAACTTATTACAATAATACGAAGGAGCATTTTTGGATCCGCTAGCTCCATCGAAAACTCGACTGGCTCTGTGATTATACAATTTTCATCTGCAGCTCTTATATGTTACCACAATGTAAATTAACTCATTTGTTATTGTATTGATTGATGGGCCATATTAATATATTTATTTACAATTATTATAATGGCCCAGAAAAAATATCTTTTGACAAAAGAAGACTCCAGGAAAATAAACGCCTTGCCGCAAAACTGATAATAACCTATAACTTCAAAAAACAAAACAAATTAGCACGGCGTGCTATTTACGGCTACAACTATTCACCTCTTTCTATGTAGGTTCCAGAAGATCTCAATAAGTTTTCAACAATTTCAGTGGTTTTGATGATTGACCCAAATTGAAGCTTATGAATTACTTAGCAAAGAATCTAGTAACAGAAAAGTCTTCTGAAGTAGTAACTATTCAAAAAAATTAAATTAAATATTATCTCCAATTTCTTGGAATATATGTTTGTTTTGGAATTAATAGAGATATATCTCAAAATATGAAGGGTACAAGAAAATGCAGCACTTTATTTTGACAATTATTAGGAGTTTTTTGTAAAAACTTTCCATATATTTGTAAATATGGCATGAAATACAGTTCCCCTTACTACCACATCTTGTTAATTTGAATAAATCTATCACCTTAGTTAACTGTTAACTTGATATTGGTTGCGAATAATACAATATTACGTTAGTTTTCATTCATTTGTGTAATCCTCATGCCTAAGAAAAATACATAAAACTAAGGAACGGTAAAGTGTAGAGCTGCCAGCGGCTATACGTTTCCGGTTTACATCCACCGCCGGAAGTGTAGTGGCTTTTGTTTATCTAGGTACTTATGTGGTATATGCAAATACCCATTAAAATTATAACGTTGGCTTAGGTTATGACTTGCCTTTACCGGCAAGCAGATGCTTACACTAAAAGGACTACAGTACTATTTTAAATTAGTTAATTATGTTAATCATTACATCTACTGTGGTGTGGTTTTTCGGAATGTTATGCTACGGCTATACACCGTCAATTTCAGACTTATATCGCAGTTCCTTAGCCTTAGTTACGAATTTTTCACATGCTCCTGTTGATCTGGGGCTAGGCCCGTGGGGGTGGACCCGATATCAAAACCCCTAGGCCCGCCCTGATGTTGATTTCGGTTTTTATTGTTAGTCCTAAGACCGTTACAGTAGTAATCCTCTCTCAGTGACGTTGGAAAAGTACACGAAAAATAAGTATCATGTCTTCATTAAGTAAAATTCTTTATTTATATCCACTTTTTTTATTCTACACAATTTCTTGCATTGAATTGTGCAGCTCAACCGTTTAATTGCAACTAAAGAAATGCTCGATATCCTGCACCCACGACATACTTTCAAAGGATAGAAAGCGAAAAAATAAGTATCGTTTTAATACCGTAGGTGATTTATTTATACCTCGATCGATCCGTATATGATTTATTTTACTAATAAATCGTCCTGTAACCCAGTTTCTCTTTCAACAATAGTTTCCAGACGAAATAATGTGCGCAAGATTGCGATTACTTTATTTTCTCACCCTACTGACCACCATGAATGATAATTATAGTTCTTGTAGTGTTAATATTATGTTATAAATCTTCAAACCAACTGACTTTGCAATTTCAGACCCATTCTGGTCTGATTCAAACCATCCAACAAAGCGCCGATCCCAGTGGCGCTACCTACAGGGCAACGTACCACCCCATTCAAGAATACTACAATGGGCCGAACCCGAATACTACAGGAGCGGTGCCAAGATCCTCGTGGCACACCACTGTGGATCCCAATAAGCCCGCACCAAGGCCTATGCAACCCACCGATGATTTTCATAATCCCCAAACTGTCTCAGTACAAATAGAATGTAAAGACCAAGTTCCAAAGGAACAGAAAAACCCTAAGTCCATGACCAAAACCTACCACACCATAAAGGATATTATATCGAATAGATTTAAGAGCAGCAGGGAAATCGAAGAGAAAACTGAAGAGACTGGACTCAATAACAATGCGGATGAAACGAGGAAGACTCAAATTGGCACCGCGGAAGAACAAGAGAAGAAACCACCGTGTGACCAAGGTAAAGAAGTAATACGTTTTGATTTATCACTTATCTGAAACATTTTAATTTTTAGTTGGTTATCAAAAACAACCCATGCAGCAATATCAGTACAACCAGCACTACATCCAGCAACATATGCTTGCTCAACAAGCCCAACAACAGTACCAGCAGCAGCTGAAAAGTCACCACCAGTACAATCAGCAGCTGGCCCAAGCGCGATCACAAGAAATGTTAACTCCCCGTCCAGAAGAACAGTTATACTACCAAAGCAATTACCCAAATAATCCACCAAGAGGTGTGGGAAGATTTGTACAACAAACACCTAGCAGGGAACAGAATTTCGTCACGGTACAACCTCACGTACAGGTAAGCATTGGAAAAATCTAATGCCAAAATAATTAAATGTATTATTTCAGTTTCAGAATGGTAAAGAATCCCAACTGGAAGATCGCCGTGCGCTAACTGGTTCCGAACGTAGAAGCGCCCAACAACTCGAAAGAGATAATCTTAGACAAAGGAGTTTTGAAGCAAGAAGAGCGGCATCTCAACCTCAACTAGCATATGACGACGAAGTGAATCCTGAAGTCCAGAACAACAGACCTCCTCTTCAAGTGATTACTCCCGTTCGTAGAGGATCTCATGGAAACATCATGGAAGCTCAGATGAACCAAGAAATGGAGAAAGACAGCGACGACGGAGGATTTCTTAAACGAAAAGGATCCAGGGAGAGAAGACTAGATGCTCCTCCTCAACAGAAAGAAGGCAATATGCAAAATGAGAGTCAGTATTGTGAGAGTAAGAAAGAACACAAATCTCATTCTAAAGAGGACCCCAAAGTTACGGACGGTCTTCATGGAACCCCTAGAAGAAAACTGGAAGGGGAAATAGGTAATTTTTGCGCCATAGAGAATTTTGACATATCTGTATACTTTTGCTTACAACAGTGTGTTTTTTTAAGGTAAAATTGAAGGAGTGTACAATGTTGGTCAAAGATCAACGAAAGTAGAAGACGAAACGAAAATACCAAAGAAAAATCCTAGCTCCGCGACAAGTTCTGACTATGATAAAACCGGAGGTCAGTCGTCGTCAAACGTGGATTCCGGTCGAGGTAGCGCAGCTTACAGCAGTGGAAGAAGACCTGGAGGCATTGATTTAAACGGAGAAACTTTCGATTCTGGACAGATGAATCCTGGAAATAACTATAGAGATGCTCATGGAACAGGTAAAATCGTAAAATACAATATTGTTGAGAGTTTATTTAACCATTCTTCTAGCTCATGATAATGAATGGGTGGATATTGTAGAAAACGAATTGAGGCACATCCTCGAGCCAAAACTCCATGAGTTGTCCCTTCAAGGAAAGAATGCAGGTGTCGCAAATTCAACATTTAGTGAAAGCATCTCCTCGATGACTCCACCATTGCCACCATTATCTCCTGGTGACCAATCGTCTCCTAACGAGACACCGAGAAATTCGGCTAGATACAAACATAGCAGGTAAAGCAAACAGTGAAGTAAATTCTAAATGTAGTGGTGAATTATAAGTTAATCTTAATGTTTGTTGATTTTGTATGGAAAAAGTTTTCTACAATTTTCAGTTTACCTTTTGGAAGTAAACCAGATTATGATGGTTACAAAGGAAAAGCGCACACACGAGAGGTACCCAGCAATTCTAGATGGAATAGTTCGTCTCAAAAACACAGAACAACCAAAAAGATGGATCATAGCACTTCACATAGAGGAAAACAAAGTAAGTACACTCCTGAAGAAGCTAGTAGCTCGTACAATCTAACTTGGTTTATATTTTGCAGTATTTGGATTGGAAAATCTCGATATCACTTCAACGACCACAAGGTCGATGGACTTGGAATCCATCCTGGACGGTCAAAGTGATTCAGAGGGAGACATGAGCACCACGGATGCGAGAACCATCAGAAAACAACTAGAAGGCCTAGAGATGATGTACTCAGAGGTGTTAAAGCTTCTAGGAGTCAACAAAAAACATACAGGACGTTACCAACCTTCAGATCCCCGATTTAGCAAGAGGAGATACGGAAGCATGTCTTCCCTGCCTTCTAGTTCGGTCAGCAGTAGACCGATAAGGGATAAAAGGAGAGCCACGGAAGAGAGAAAGAAAGTACGGGACATCAGAGGAATAAACAAGAGATTCCAGAGGTTGGAGTCTCACGTGGTGACTCTAGCTAGGTCTGTGGCTCATCTCTCATCGGAAATGAGAACGCAACATCTGATGATTCAGGAGATGGAGAATATACGTGGTGAAATAGCAGCTTTAAGGACCCAGACTAACATGTTGAATGTCAGATCACAGTCAGCTTCTAGGGCAGTTAGTTCGAAGGAACTACCCACACTGGCCAATCCTACTAGGGTGAAGAAGTTGACTAAGTTTTTTGGAGATGAGCCGCCATTGTTAAGATTATTTTTAAGGAAATTGGGATACGAGGTAAGTCGTACTTTCGATTAAGTCTTCTAGAAATGTCAGTGCTGATGAATTTATATTTTTGCAGAAATATGCAACCCTATTCGAGAGCGAGCGCGTTGGTATGGTGGAATTGCCGTACATGAGCGAAGAAAGGCTTCAGAAAATGGGGGTGCCGTTGGGGCCTAGATTGAGAATAATGCAAGAGGCGCAAATTTCCGTTTGTAAGGATAATACTTTGTGTATAGTATAGACAAAATATTGTTAAATACAAAATAAGCCCAAGTTCAAGGTTTGCAATGAAAGGTAGATCTAAGTTAAATTAAAGTATGTACTGTTGAAACCTTATCAGTATCAACAGCAGATTAATTGGAATTTTCATAAAAAAATCTTGAAAGTGGCGGCTCATTAAGTTATATATTGTAGATTAGGTACCTAATGTTATGGCTACTAAGTAACTATTTATACAACGAAATAAGTATTTCGTATTCTAAAAAATTGTATATTTTTGTACTCATATATGTAGCTAGTAGGTAAAACAGTAAAGAGAATGTGGTTTTTTACCAATGTTGAGAATGGTTTGTGGATACTTACATGCATTTCAATTGTAATGAAGATTTGCCAATAATACCAAAGATATATTCTTTGTACTCGTACTTTCCATATGTAATTGTTTTTTTTATTTAATAAACATTGTAATATACCTGTGAGGTTTATTATTGCTGGCCTGTTAAGGTCCCTTAAAAGTACACCTACTCATATCCATTTTGGAAAAGTAATTGTCATTATAACATTTATATTTAGTAATACCATTTTGTTGTTCAATAAATAAATATGTCTACTTCTAAACTTCCATATAAATTGGTTTTATATACGTATTCCTACGTAATTCCTAATTTATTTTAGGTTTTTTAGAAAGGATAATCTCGATTAGCACAAAAAGGGTCACACCAGTGTCAGCGTCCGTAGTGGTGAGACAGTAAAAAAAAACACTGTAATTTGAAGTATTGCAATATTACGCCCAAGAGTACGATAACAGAAAAAATGCAGAGTGTTGGAAAAAAATTCAGGATACACCATTTTGGAAATCACATGTAAAGTTTTATCAGGTCACATATTAGGAGTTACCAGCAAATATATTAATATACAAGGTGATTCACAACTTATCCAAACAAATTTGGGAATAGATGCGGCATGAGAAATGGAGTCAATATCGTAAAAAAAATTTTGTAAAATCCTTATAGTTTCCGAGAAAAAAATTATTGAAGTTATAGTACATTCAACCACTACATAGCTGGACAACTGTAGTCTCTAGCGTCATTCGCAATACGCGTGGAGAGCCACGTGGCCTCAGCGACTCCGAATACTGAAATCCGATTTTGCAATCGTCGTTGCGATAGTGTTTACCTGTTATCTGTGGTGTTTACAATAGATTTTTAGTAGTTAGTGTCAAAAATGGTTTGCGTATATAGCGACTCGGAGTTGACGGATATCGTTTTAATTTATAGTGACAGACAACATTTGTATTATGGTGAAGCATTTGTGTTATGGTGAAGCAAGACAACATTTGTGTTAGTTCGTAGAAACTGAGTAAGATGGATCCAAATGTGTTTTCATGTTGGTGGATAAAATTTTGAAGAATTGTTGTTGTAACATCGGGTATGTCAAATGATTTTATTATTTAATAAAGGCAAAAGCAGTTGAATTTGCCGATATAAAATAGATGCTATAAAATACTATTTATTTATTTCCTTGCGAAAGTTTTTGTCTGTTTTTATCACACCGCCATGCCGGTCGCATTGTATTTGTAAGGGTCCCCTGTACATCCACAATTTTTTTTTGGATAAGTTCTGAATCACCCTGTATAGTTCATGCCACAACAATTTTTCATACTGTCCGTTGTTAGCAGTAGACGTTGAACAGTCATTTTCCCTATACAACTTAATATTAAGTGAAAAGCACGTAGTAATATGTTTTAATTCCTTCCAATATGCCACGGAAGCCTTGTCTCAACACTAAGGTTTATCGGGTAAGTGGTGTCATTTAAATTTATATAGGTACTTTATCCTCTACTTAGCCTTGCTCTTTGGTAATAGTACTATGTTGCGACATATTTTCTGAAAATATATTAATATTTTCATTCGTAATCTGACTTTATCCTCTACTTAGCCTTGCTCTTTGGTAATAGTACTATGTTGCGACATATTTTCTGAAAATATATTAATATTTTCATTCGTAATCTGACTACGGTCCTGTTAAACTCCGCGCCACACTAAGCCTAGTAATAATATTGAATAAAACATCTTTTGGAATATATTATGAAGTTAAATAAAAAAATTACTATAAAAACACGCCACTAATACTTTGACATAACTTGATATTATTTTTTCTTTAAAAAGTGGGGTGAAATTTATAAATTTAAAAATTAAAGTATTAATTTTAATTATTTAAAATCTAAAATAAAACAATATTACATTCGACAAATGCGATTTTCTTTGCAAATGTAGAAATAAAGTGCTTTTTGAAATTTTCTGGTAACAGTTCAATTTGAATTAAACTGAAAAATTATACTTACTCATAGAATAGAAATAAGTTTTTTTGTTCCAAAATATTTCAAGAAGAAAAAGTGCATTTTGATTTTTGTTTTATTATGAATTTATTTTTAACAATTTTCCAACTAATCATTTTTATTATATTAAAAGAATATATAACCATTTAATGCAGGATAATTTTGACGTCCTTATGTAAAAATTGCTGTATATTAAAACCGCTAATGAGGATAATAACTAATTTGAATTTTTATTTATATAACATGAATCTCATTCATGTCCTACCTTTAATATTTCTAAATAGTCCACATAATGATCGTCGGTGTATTGTGGAAAAGGAAATTTCCCATGTCTAAGGGCGTCAAGACGTCTGGCGCCGTTTGGTCTCAATCCAGCATCCAGTTCAATTGGCAAAGTCTTACTGGCGGGTTCAGTTTATTAAATGTTAAAAAGTCGAACGATTTTAAATAGTTTTAAAAATGTCGAAAAAATTTCTGTTCTGTTTCCCTCTGAAAAGTGGCGCTTGGGTTATGGCTTTTACAAATTTGGTAGGTATATTTTTTAAATTCTCTTAGTCAGAATGTAGTGTCGCATTTTCCAACTTTCATCAATTATTAACATATAAATTCTGTATAGCAGCATGTAGATAATAATAACTATGCAGAATGTGTCTATTCTAAAGAAAAATAAAAGTAGAAACAATTTTTGAGAGTAAGAAGTTTTATATATTATTTATTAGTAATTAGTGCTTTTATAGCAATATGTAATAATTCAAAGCAGTTGATATATTTAGTCCGGATTATGTATATTATAAAACGAAACCTGAGAAAAATTATTACAAATATTAACAGTCGGTTATGTACTTATTCATATTAACTGCTGTTGTTAGTAATGCTGTTTTTTCATTGATATGTCAAATAAAAATAAAAAATAGCAATACATTTCTAAAGAAAAATACGAGTCGTATATGTATATTTGATTTCAGGCTTTTGCTATAATTTTCATAGCAGGGAGCAGCGTTGAAATGTCCAAAGAACACACAAGCGAGGACAACCTCTATTTAATCCTGGGAATTATTATGGGAGTTTTCAATACATTTGCAGGAGTGATATTAATAATAGCTATGGTGAAGGTAAGGATAGTTTCCGCTTAGTAGTTTGGGATAATGTATATATATATATACATAATATCCTGCAGTTACAAATAGATCAACATATGATATGTTTTAGGGAAAGGAAAAATTAGTACTTCTCTACTTACTCCTAGAGTTATCCAATTTGATGATTTTAACAATATTTGCAGTTTTCAACATGTTCGAATATAAGTCTCTGATTCTGGGAGAACTTTTTTTAGTCTGCCGTAAGTACCAACGGTTTTTCTTTAAATAAATAAAAACGTATTTCTCAACTCGTAGAATTGCATCTTCTCCATTTACTATACTTGTTAAACAAGTTGTTAAACAATAAGCACTATTCACTGATGTTTTTAGCTTTTTCTAAATCTTCACAAAGCATTTGAAATGAAATTTATGAAATCTCTATTTTCCTTTTTTGAATAATTTTATGTAAAAAGTGTTAATATGACATTTAACAATTTTGACGCTACAGTTTCAAAACGTTGTTTTTTCTAAAAGTTTTGTATTTTTTATATAACACTTGGTATTTATTAATTTCATTAGTAAAGAGGCTACCTGATGAAACTTAATACTTTTGAAATAAAGTAAAATTGAAGACGAAATCAGTTTATAAAGAAATGGTTTGCATGATGCATGATTTCAAGATCATATTTGAAAAACGTATCTGCACTGAAAAAAAAAAGTATTTGGATCAAATGAGCAAATATTTTTAAAAGTGAAATATTAGCTGTAATCTATAATTTTTCTTAGAATTTATATAATTTGTAAATATATATAATTTAATTAAAATCTTTTGTAGTTTTGAACAGAAATGACAAATTGGCAAATGTAGCATATTATAATCAAACTTATGTTTTCTTGAAAGAAAATTGTAGCAGGTCACAGAATGGCGTAGGTGGAAAGTAGCGCGATAGATGGAGCCACTTACGCTCTGTGTAAACACATGTCCTTGTGAGTAACAACACTAAAGCAACAGGATCCTTCTAAGGACATGATGGGGACCATCAATAAGTCCCAAACCGACCTATGTCCTATGTCTGGTTGGTTAAACTTACGAAGGATCCTAGCTGTTGTACTAGGTGTTATGAGTTTGAAACAAAGTATTTTTTATTACTGAGAAATATTTATATCCAAGTATATTCTTAAAATAAGTATATACAATCATTTGACCAAAGCTATTCAAATTTGTATTAAACAAACGATACAATTAATATACAATACAAGACATGTTTCTATAAAATTTATGTAGATCATAAAATTAAGAATAGAATTCGTTTAACCGAAAATCGAATAGTATAACTGTTTATCTATTTTCAGTTGCTTTATGGTTCGGACTGTTCTCAATGGTTGGATACTACATGGAAATGGCCGAATACAATTCCGTGAAGTCGGGAGCCATAGAAATAACCTGTAATCCACACATCAACCCACTGATGGGGCTGCCCGAAAGGGCAATTGAAAGCACGGCGGTTTAAGAACACGGCCTTTTCCCAAATTTTCGAAAGCTACCAGGAAAATGGGTTAATGGCGTTGTTGTCACTTCTCCGAGTTTGATGTGATGACTAGATTTGTTTAAATATGTTCCGCACACTCTGAAAAGTAAAAATATGTGTTCTGGTCTAATATCATATTTTTTTTTTCTACTGGCGAAACTTAAGTCGATATATGTTTTCATTAAGTAATAGTAAAAAGTAAAAGAAACAAAGTTCTGTTTGGCAATAGTTTATTAGCGTGGTTAAATAAACAATTTTTTTATATTTATTTATTCATATCAAGTGTAAAACAATCGGAAAACCTTGAAAGTGTAGCGAGTTTGCCTTATACCCAGTGTTAAGTAAAAATTAAGCTAATTTAAGAAAAAGAACAAAATTAATTTTGACAATAGCTCAGGAAAGAACAATTTTTTATTCATTTTCTTTACGATGCAATAAAGACATTAAACTTCACTATCTTATAAAAAATTACGATTTATAAATTATTCAACGGTATAGAAATGGGAGATTTTTAACCCTGTGACCTTTGTCAGAGAAAGTGATTTGAATTTTATACCAAATTCA